AATAATAATTGAATAAAAACCTAATTTTGACAAAAAATTGACATTCTACCTATTTTTCGAATTTCCTGAAAACGTCCCAGCGCGACATCCGACGGGTTTTTCCAGATCGCATCACAAATTGAACAGGAACAGTGCGAGAACAGAGCCTTGTGGGACTTCCCATTTCATGGCTGTCCATTCAGACTTATGGTCACCACCTAGCAAGCAATTTTGCATTTAAAAGACGTCTATTAGCTGTCTAAACACAGCCCAGACATCTAGGCTAAAACAAGGCTAAATTTGGGCTGTCAATCTAGCGGTTGGGAATTGTAATTGCATTTTTATTTATAAAATGAAAGACAGCCGAAAATAAATAATATCTTATAATGTGTATGAATGTAACATTTAACAGATTGTGGGATGCATGACATCATATTATTAAATGCAAGTAAACGTTTGAATCATTTAAATGAGCATTCTGGCATAATAAATAATGCTATATTTAATAATGCTGTAAAATAATTAAATAAAATATAAAATAATGCTAATTTAAATGTTTCAATTGTTTACTTGCATTTGATACGAAGCTGCGTGGGTGAAAATTGCATGTAAACAATTTTAAGGCTATTTTGGCCATGCTTATCGCTGGTCTGGTTACTGGTATAGGGCTATAACCAAGCCGTTAAAATTAGACCACGGATTGCCTCGATTTCGCCAGGTGGGCTAAAAGCAGACTACACCCGTCCAATTTAGAGCTAAATCGTGGCTACATAGACCATGTCATGAAATGACACTTGTATATCTTTTTAGATATTATTGACACTGCAAACATGATGGGATATCAAGCATCTCATGCGCTGCCTGGCCAAAAACTACAGTGAATCAGGTTTGACTATAAGTGGGCTACAGATAGCCGCTCTGACTACGAGCTAAATCATCGCTATGCACAGGTTACGTATTGAACATGTCAAAGAAATGAAACCAAACACCTTGTAAACGATGTTGACTTTGCTTACTTGATGGAATATCATACATCTCACAAATTATTTTGCCAAAAAACAACATTAAACCAAATTCAAGGTTATTTGGGCTAGAAGTGGGTTACACATAGCCGGACTATATCGGGTCTATACTTAACAGAGATGTTGAAATGACGGCTATTGCACTTGCTGGCCAATGTTCACGTAGTAACCCCTCTCTTCTAATCTTGAGCTGAACTTTTTGAGGACTAAAGCCCTGCATAGTTACATTTTATAAGTTAAATATATAATATATCATACAGTATAATAAATTATAAATGTTTTATTCATTATAAATATATATAATGTATTATAACATTAAAAAAAACTGTTGATATAAGGCGTGCTAAATATTGCATGTGCTGAATAAGATAAATAAAAATGCTGTTTTTGTGTTCAGGCTGAATAATTGTGAGCTGACAGAGAAAAGCTGTTCAGTTCTAGCTACTGTTCTCTCCTCCAAAACCATCCTGAAAGAGATGAACCTGAACAACAGCCGTCTGCTGGACTCAGGAGTCAAAGAGATCTGTGAGGGACTGAGGAATCCTGTGTGTGAACTGAAGATACTCAAGTGAGTACATTTCACCATCAGCTACACTCTAAGACCACAGCAATCACTGGAAAAAATATAAAAAATGTTATATATAAAAAATGACCAATTAGTGCTAATATATATATTAGTGCTATAAAACGAGTAATGGCTATTAATCACATCCAAAATAAAAGTTTTTGTTTACAGAATATATGTGTGCGGTGTATATTTATTGTGTATATATAAAGACACACACATACAATATATATTTTGAAAATATGTACATGTATATGTATATATTTATATTCATTTAATTTATATTATATATAAATATATTTAATATACGAACATAACATTTTTCTTAAATATATATATATATATGCATGTGTGTATTTATATATACATAATAAATATACACAGTACACACACATATATTCTGTAAACAAAAACTTTTATTTTGGATGCAGTTAATCACGATTAATTGTTTGACAGCACTAATATATATGTATTTATTTTTATTCAACTTTGAATCGAAAGTTTACTAAGATGTTTGTGTACCTTTTTTGTCATTATCCATAAACATACAGTTACAGCCTTACAAAGGTAAACAATTTAACATCTGACATATTTGAGGTTGGAGGGGAAAATACATTAATGATCTAATTTCAGGGGTAATCTGCTGATTTCTCTGGTGCTGCTTCACTCTCAACACCTCTGCTTCCAACAAAAATGGTACAGTTATGTATCCATATTATTGATTTTTTTATATTATTTTCAGGCTCAGTAAGTGTGATCTAACAGTGAAAAGCTGTTCAGCTCTAAGCTCAGTTCTCAATTCAGACTCCAGCAGTCTGAAGGATCTTGACTTGAGCAATAATAATCTACAGGATTCAGGAGTGAAGCTGCTCTCTGATGGACTGAAAGAGAACTGTAAACTGGAGAAACTCAGGTGAGTTGATGTCTAAATTATTAAATGTCTCTTTTTGTTTGCTTCCAGTTGTAGCTTTGCAACTCATTTTTGAATTAATTCTAGAAACAAATTCTATTTGATTTATATTGTTCAGGACATTTATAGAATAACTGATTAGCCTGAGTGTTACATTTTCATTCCTGTTCTAGACTCTCTAACTGCAGTATCACTGAAGATGGTTATAAAGCTCTGGCTTCAGCTCTGAGATCAAACCCTTCACACCTGATAGAGCTGGATCTCACAGGAAATGATCCTGGACAATCAGGAGTGAAGGAGCTCAATGATTTACTACAGGATCCAAACTATCAGCTGAAGACACTGAGGTGAGATGTGATGAAACAATACAAAATGAATGATAGGCAGGATTATTTTTGATAGAAAAAATATTTCACCAGTTCAGTAATCTGTTATTGTTAATGGTGATTTGTATTATAAGTTTTAATAGGTTTTAAGCAGTAATTTCTAGATTTTTCATTATGCCAAGTTTAGTAGAGAACTGAATTGAATTCTGCTTCATCTTCTCTTCTGCAGGTTTTTGAGTCCTGCTGCAGATGAAGCCTGTCAGTATGTGACTGGAATTGTGGGTAAAAACCCGTTACTCCTTAGAGAGCTGAATCTGAGTGAACATGAACTAGGAGACACACGAGTGAATCAGATCTCTGCTCTACTGCAGGATAAACACTGTACACTCAACACACTGATGTGAGTATTGTACGTGGTTTAATATTTCTGTATGTAAAATACTGTATCTTTCAAACATAACATTATTTTGATGTTATATTTTCAGTTGTTTTGGACTAAAACTGACTGTTGTTTATTAAAGAAGGTTTTGAGATAAATTGAATACTGTTTCCTGTCTTTGTTTTCTTTCTCTGCAGGCTGAATAATAACAGTATTACAGCAGAAGGTTGTGTTGCTCTGACTTCAGCATTTAATTTAAATCCTTCAAACCTGATAGAGCTGGATCTGAGTGGAAATAAACTAGAAAGAGAGTGAACACAGAAAACACAGAGGCTTAAATACACAAAGGGAATTAGACTAACAAGAGACAAGTTCTCAAAACCACAAAGATACAGAATACATTACAAGATGTCTATATGGTTAAGTCAAATGATAATATAGATGGCTATCAAGACTAAAATAATAATTTTAAACTTTTCTTTAACTACTTACAACATGACATTTTATACAAAATATTTAGAAATGTATGTGAAGCATGTGATATTATTAAAGCAATCTTTTTTATATATAGACTTTCAGACTGCAGTATCAGTGAAGAAGGTTATAAAGCTCTGGCTTCAGCTCTGAGATCAAACCCTTCACACCTGATAGAGCTGGATCTCACAGGAAATGATCCTGGACAATCAGGAGTGAAGCAGCTCAATGTTTTACTACAGGGTGGATGCTGTAAATTAAAGACCATCAGGTGATAATTTTGAAATTACAAAATTTACTGAATTTCAATTTAAAGAAATGCAATACCATCACAGAACTGAATTTCACGAGTCTGGAACTCAAGTTTTCTTTTGCATTTTTACTAATTTATACTAATTTTACAAATTATATTTTCTCAGTAGAACTGGAGACAGTTATCATAAATATGAAGTTAATACTAAACTGGACCCATAAGGAGGATGAGAGCTGCAAATGACATTAAATTATAGCATGACTATCGAATCAAAGTTCTTCTACTTTTAGGTTCTTAAAAAGTCCTGCTGCACAGGAAGCGTGCGAGTATCTCACTAAAGTTCTGGGTAAAAGTCCATTATTACTGAAAGAACTGGATCTGAGTGAAGATAAATTAGGAGACCTGGATGGGGAGAAACTCTCTGCTCTTTTGATGGACTCTCACAGCAAACTGGAGAAAATGAAGTGAGTCAACATCATCTATACATTATAACATCTCTGTTTAGTCATTATAAAGGACTTCCAGTTACATGTGAAGCAAATATGAAGACCTGATGATCTGATGTGTGTTGAATATGTGCTGAATACTAAATAATGCTGTTTTTTGTGTTTAGGCTGAATAATTGTGAACAGACAGAGAAAAGCTGTTCAGTTCTAGCTACTGTTCTCTCCTCCAAAACCATCCTGAAAGAGATGAACCTGAACAACAGCCGTCTGCTGGACTCAGGAGTCAAAGAGATCTGTAAGGGTTTGAGGAAGCCTGTGTGTGAGCTGAAGATACTCAAGTGAGTACAATTTCACCATAAACTGCTGTTCATTTAAGCTGACACGAACATTTACATTATGTCAGTGTGATTTTTTTCTTTTTTTATGGAGAGGGGTTCTTTTTTCCATTGAATTGTAAAGAAAGCTGGCCAACCAATAAGATTCTCACTTTGTTAACATGCCCTCAGCCAACACATTAAACTATAAATTGGTGGCTCACAAACAGACTATTTGGTTTAGTGACATTGAATAGCTGAAGGAGAATCAGGAACAGGCATTGAAGATTGATATTGAGCATCTTTAGTGGTAATAAATTCCATTCAATAAAAATATGGATAGGATTGGTTAAATAGGATGAACTGTTTGAAAACATGTAAGTACTGTTTATCTTTATTTCTTCCTCTGTCATGTTTCTTCATCTGTTTTGAATGCTGCTTCCAAAAGACTAAAAAATATAGTTTTTACTCTTGATAATTAAGTTCCACAATTTTTTTTAAAGCTAGGACTCTAGCTTAAAGTCCAAAATTTGACTAAATATGAATTTTTAGCTTCTTGTGAAAATGACTTCTGTCTAGGTAATCTGTGTCTCAGGTGCAGCACATTTCTTTGATGAAGTACTGAGAACTGTGTCATATAATGTGCTTTCAGTGCAGAGATAAGGTGCAGTTTTAGCCTTAAGGCTTGTTCACACCGGGACGAATATTGTGCGCGATTATCGCCGACGTTTAACGCCTCGTGACTAAACAAAGGGCGCCAATGTGAGTGTGCACACCGACGCACAAAACACGAGGCGTAAAAGCATAATTTAAAAAAAAAAACGCCTCAGGCTTGTTTTTTTGGGTTTGCCGCGCCGCGTTAAAAACTGGCCGACCGATGAGATTGGCGCTTTTGTTCACGTGCCTGGAGCTGCTGAAGTTACAGTAAAACACGACTTGGTGGCACTCAAGCACAAAACGGTCTTGCCGAGCACACATTAATGATACCTAACGACGAAGAGGAAGAAAGTAGACCGAGAAGATGCATAGAGGCCAGATGAATGTAGAGCTGCTGGTCTCATTGGTGTCTGAACACAAAGGGCTTTATGACAAACACGACAGCGACTACAAAAATCTGGATAAGAGGGAGTTGTTATGGAGAGGAATTGCAGATCAAATAGGATTCGATGTGTACCGGAGTATTTCTGTTTTTCATTAAGCGCCATCTAATGTCAGGGAGTGAATTTGCACGTTCACTCGGCTCATCGCCAGAGAAAATCGCTTGGATATGAACACAAAAGACGCGTCGAAAAACGTCGGCAATAAGCCCACGCGATAATCATCCTGGTGTGAACGAGGCTTTATGCTATGTTTTAAGTTGTTTCCATTAGAAACAGAATGAAAGACTACATTTATGCAGAGCTTAGAGGCATATAATTGTATTTGTATTGATACATTGCAGTAATTAAGAAAGTGAAAGCTTAGGGCTTTAGTTTTTTAAGTTATTTTAACTTTGGGTTTGGCTTTACCCACACCACACACACGCACACACACACACACACACACACACTTTCACCTGCTTTCATCTTGGAGTGAACAGGCCTTTATAATAACCTATATGAATTAATAACCAAAATTTAAGATTAAATTTAGAACAAACTCAAACCACCCATATTCAACAATAACAGATCCCTGGTCATCATTATATAATAAATTAATCTTAGCAGAATAAAACTGTGGCATATCTGATAAGGTAAACTGTAGTGTGATTTAGTCATATTTATTGATATTACAGTGATGAATTCATCTCAGCTGCAATGTTAATTTAAATTTGTGTTTTTATTTTTTCTAGACTTTCAGACTGCAGTATCACTGAAGAAGGTTATAAAGCTCTGGCTTCAGCTCTGAGATCAAACCCTTCACACCTGATAGAGCTGGATCTCAGAGGAAATGATCCTGGACCATCAGGAGTGAAGCAGCTCAGTGATTTACTACAGGATCCAGACTATCAACTGAAGACACTGAGGTGAGTGTTCTTAAAATAATAACATTCAACAGTCCTAAAAATATTTTAGGTTAAAAAAAATTAATTGTCAAAAAGATATTTATATAAGCTTTGAAATGACTCCCTGAAATGAGTCCCTTGCACAACATAAATCACTGTATGGTAGGCAGTGTTGGGAAGGTTACTTTGGAAATGTAATAGGTTACAGATTACAAGTTACCCTACTTAAAATGTAATAAGTAGTGTAACTTTTCAATTACTTTATTAAAGTAATGTAACTGTGTTCACTGCTGTGTGTGTGCACTTGGATGGGTTAAATGCAGAGCACAAATTTTGAGTATGGGACACCATACTTAGCCATATGTCAATTCAATTCACTTTCACTAAATTTGTTTATGTCTGGCTGCACAAATCATTTTACTCCAGGCAGCTTTCTGAATGAGCGACAATTCAAGGCAGGTTTTGTTAAGTTAAAACTCAAGGATGGATCAGTACCCATTGTTCATGATCCAGCTGTAGATTTCAGACTTACTTTAAAATCATTCTGAGGTTAAATACATATTAAAATCATAACAAGAAATAGTTTGATAGCTATGATACTGTTTTTGAAATCAAATCTTTGCATATATATGACAGGAAACACTGGAATCTAACAATGCCTTAGAAAAAACAGTTAATCTTAAAAAAATAAAGCATATACATAAACCCTATCAGATAAGCATGTTATAAACTTCTGAAACATTGGTGTTTCATATTTTAAAGCAGTCACTGCAACTTATGAAAGAACTCAATTAAATCTGTATGTGGGAGTGTGTGTGGAAAAAAATCAGATGTAACCCTCTTTGTAATCCTTAACATTTTCATAAGTAACTGTAATTTAATTACACATTTTTTCTTAGCAACTGTAACTGATTACAATTACTTTTATTTTGTAATTAAATTACGTAATTCCGTTACATGTAACTAGTTACTCCCCAACACTGATGGTAGGTAATATCAATGTACTTCTATTATGTCCAGGTTGTTGCAAAGTCCTGCTGCAGATGAAGCCTGTCAGTTTGTGACTGGAATTGTGGGTAAAAACCCGTTACTCCTGAGAGAGCTGAATCTGAGTGAACAGAAGCTAGGAGACACACGAGTGAATCAGATCTCTGCTCTACTGCAGGATAAACACTGTCAACTCAACACACTGACGTGAGTATTGTGTTCAGTTATTATTGTAGATAAGTACGTTAAAAGTATCAGGTCATTAAAAACATAATTTTCAGTCATCACTAAATGATGGAATCAAGAACTTTGTTTTGGTAAATTCATTTTCTCCTGTTTAACATTTTAGTCTGCGTAAGTGTGGTCTAACAGAGGAAAGCTGTTCAGCTCTCGCTACAGTCCTGAGATCAAACTCCAGTCTGAAAGAGCTTGACATGAGCGACAATAATCTGCAGGATTCAGGAGTGAAGAAACTCCAGAACGCATTAGAAGATACAAACTGCACACTGAAGAAACTCAGGTGAGTTCAATCAACCATTTTTGATTGTTGTTCTTCACTAATCAGGAAGAAAAAGTGATATTATTGATATTTTGCAGTGATATTAACTGTATAATAAATTTCAATCTGATTTTCAAATCCCTTTTCTGTAGACTTTCAGACTGCAGTATCACTGAAGAAGGTTATAAAGCTCTGGCTTCAGCTCTGAGATCAAACCCTTCACACCTGATAGAGCTGGATCTCACAGGAAATGATCCTGGACCATCAGGAGTGAAGGAGCTCAGTGATTTACTACAGGGTAAAAACTGTAAACTAAAACTGAGGTGAGTCATGATTAAATGATACAAAATAATGATACAAATGATACAAAATTCACCTTATATGGAGGTGAATTATTCATATACATTTTATTTCACTAACTTTGTTCCAACAACTAATTGTGCTGTTTTAAAAGCTGACTATTGATTACACCAAGTTCTGTTGAATTGAATCCTGCTTCATCTTCTCTTCTCCAGGTTTTTGAGTTCTGCTGCAGAGAAAGCCTGTCAGTATGTGCCTGGAATTATGGGTAGTAATCCCTTATTTATGAGAGAGCTGAATCTGAGTGGGCATAAACTTGACATAAAATTTGTGAATTATCTCGCTGCTGTACTGGAGGACAAACACTGTCAATTCAACAAACTTCAGTGAGTAAATGTATACTTTGTTTTGGAAGTATTGGGCCCTCTTTATATTAAGTGTTATCAGCCACTATGTACTAACATTTAAATTGATAAAGTTCTCTTGGCCACCTCTTTGGCCACCTGCTCACAACTGCTGTTTCTGACTTATTTAGACATAGAACTGTCTCTTTACAGCCACATCACAGATGTTTTAGGCATGCACTGAACTTTGCCTCAGCGCCAGGCACAAGTCAAATGACTGCCAGAAAGGTATAGGTGCAGAGGGAGCTTTAGTAAAAGAACAGTAGATATACGAGATTGTGGAGCAGATAATACAGCATGATTAAAAATGGAGACAATTTAAGCAGCATCAAAATTTAGCAAATGCATGAATGTATTTTTTATATATGCGTTAAAGGGGTTGTTCACACAAAAATGAAAATTCTGTCATCATTTACTCACCCTCGTGTCATTCCAAACTCGTAAGACTTTCGTTCTTCTTCGGAACACAAATTAAGATATTTTTTAAATGAAATCTGAATTCAAAAAATATGCAAGATTGCATATTTTTATATTTTTGATTCGACAGTGTTGTTGGACTATTTTTCCTATGCACCTATCGTTTCTTCAGGTGTGCTGAGTTTGTGTTGATTAATGAAATCTGAGCAATTTCTGTCCCTCCATTGACAGTCTGGACAACTACCATTTTGATCCTTAAAAAAAGTTCATAAAACTAATCTATATGAATTGATTGGTTTAGTCCAAATTTTCTGAAGAGACTTGATTGCTTCATATGATGAACAGATGTCATTTATTTTACTTTGAGCACAATAAGTACATTGTACCTAACAATTAATCTTTTTATTATTTGTACTGTATGCACATAGTAGTCAAAGACACCTAATATAAAGTGAAGCCGAAGTATCTTTAATATATAGCATTTTCTTTTATGTTTTACATTCAATAACTGGTTAAGGTGAAAATTTTGCATTTATTAACTTCAAATAACAACAATACAAGCAAAAGCATTGAAGAATGTCATTGCTGTTCATTAAAGAAGGTTTTGAGATAAACTGAAGAATATTTCCTCTCTTTTTCTTTCTCTGCAGGCTGAATAATAACAGTATTACAGCAGAAGGTTGTGCTGCTCTGACTTCAGCATTTAATTCGAACCCTTCAAACCTGATCGAGCTGGATCTGAGTGGAAATAAACTAGGAGACTCAGGAATAGAGAAGATCTGTCATCTGTTGGAAAACAAACAATGCAGATTAGAGAAACTGAAGTGTGTATCTTCATTTATTTATATTTCTACATGATAACATGCATTTATAAATGTCCATTTGTCATGACAAATGATTAAGGCTATGGAGGCTGTAATTATTTTTGTACATTGCCATCTTTATTCTATGAAATATTACAAAATCTAATTAAGTAGATGCTATCGTTAAGGCATTTGTTGCTTATCTGTGGGGTGAGCTTTTTAAAAGTTAAAATGCAATTATTAACACATTTTCACACTTTCCATGGCAATGCTTTTTATAATTACTTTTAAAAATATAATTATTAGTAAAAAATGTCTTATGATTTAAATAATGATGTCACTTTATATGCATTTTGCTTATTTAGTGTAGATCATGAAGTACTTAACCAATTCTTTCATATACAGACTTTCAGACTGCAGTATCAGTGAAGAAGGTTATAAAGCTCTGGCTTCAGCTCTGAGATCAAACCCTTCACACCTGATAGAGCTGGATCTCACAGGAAATGATCCTGGACAATCAGGAGTAAAGCAGCTCAGTGATTTAATACAGGATCCAAACTGTTCATTAAAGACCATCGGGTAATAAAAGCTTTCAGATATTTAAAAATAAACATTGATGTTTCTTTTTTTTTTTGTAACAGTTTTTCTCAGAGTTTTGTAATACAATGTAAAAAATAACTGATTGTGCTTATTTCTTTTATTTTAATAATACAAATGTTCTCAGTGAAACTGGAGACAATTATCATAACTGTAACTTCAACCACATATTACACACATTTTACATTAATACTACACTGGAGTAGAGGTGCACAGTATTTAGGTGGCTGAGATATTATTGGCTGATCACTGGGAAAATTCAGTTATTATTATAGCACTGATAATGGATTTTCATCGAATATTTTCACAGATAAGCAGTTGTGGTATATTTGTGTTCATCTGATGATGATTCGGTGTATTTGTCAGCTGGTGTCACGTGTGTTTAGACAAATTATATCACATTATCATTTTCTGTCAGTATTATTTTTGGCCATGTTTTATTTTGATCATCTGCTGTAATTAAAGATATGCTGTTTTATGTGTTCTGTTTATGTGTAAGGAAGTAATAAGTGAAAACACATTTCTGTACTTTCTGTTTCTGGTGTTTGCTTATACATGAAAATGGCATATGTTTTTATTCTGTGTGTTGTTTTATCTTTATTGCATGCTGTAAATTTAATTTTAGTTTAATTCATTGAGACAAATGTTTGTAGTTAATTATTCTACTCTGTTTAGAGATTCATTCAGAATGGGAGCTCTTAAAGGCATAAAATTGGAATATTATCTAATCTGTAATTCTGCTTCCTGTAGGTTTCTGAAAAGTCCTGCTGCACAGGAAGCGTGTGATTATCTCACTAAAGTTCTGGGTAAAAGTCCATTACTGCTGAAAGAACTGGATCTGAGTGAAGATAAATTAGGAGATCTGGGCGGGGAGAAACTCTCAGCTCTTTTGATGGACTCTCATAGTAAACTGGAGAAAATGAAGTGAGTCAACATGATTTATACATTATAACTTCTGTTTATTCATTATTAGACTGTCAGTCACATGTGTGAGCAGATATGAAGAATTGTTGATTTGTTGTGTGTCGAATATGTGCTGAATTATAAATAATGCTGTTTTTGTGTTCAGGCTGAATAATTGTAAGCTGACAGAGAAAAGCTGTTCAGTTCTAGCTACTGTTCTCTCCTCCAAAACCATCCTGAAAGAGATGAACCTGAACAACAGCCGTCTGCTGGACTCAGGAGTCAAAGAGATCTGTGAGGGACTGAAGAATCCTGTGTGTGAGCTGAAGATACTCAAGTGAGTACAATTCACCATCATTCAACACATATATATATACAGTATATATATATATATATGTGTATGTATGTATGTATATCTAGATTTTAATCGGTTCACCTCCAATAGTGGAAATAATTGAATAATACTGTGTTGTTTTTGTTGTAGACAGTGATTTTCATTTACTAACTGTGCATAGAGAACACATTTGTGCATTTTTACACAAGTCATGTCATTATTAACCTCACAACAGTGTTATCTCTTATCACAGTAATAAAATAAACAAATAAATAAAATAGCTATAACATTTGTTCACAATTATATTTTTCCTATAAAAGGATGACATTTTGAAACAAAGCACATAATGTAAAAATCAGTCTCTTACTTTCTTAAGTATATTTCTAATACTGTACATAACCCAAGTAGGGTTGAAAATTAACGGGGACTTGGGGCAAAAAATGACACTAAAATAAGCAAACATTCACCCCAAATTCAAGATTTAATTTAGATCTGCTGATGTTACATCAGATTTTCTTTTTAGGCATGTTCCATAAAAAGCGTGTAGCATTGTAACCAATCACACGTTTGTGTTGAGCATATACATGTGCCAGATCCAAAGGTGTTTAGATTAGTGAAAATGTTGGACTTTTGTTCAGTTTATGGCATGCACTCACTCATCATTTTGCAGTCTAGACTTGATTTTAATGGGAGTTTTTGTAAGAGGACAGAACTCATGCTAGTCATTGATGGCTTCAGTGATGGAGATGTTCTTTGCTTACTTTCTGTATAAAATGTATTCCCAGTTTGAAAAAAAAAATGTTCATGCTACTAAAAGAACCAATTGATTTTTTAATGCGTATAAAGCAATGAACTAATTAATAAATGGTTCTTAGCCTGAATAAGACGTGCCATTTCATTTCATTTTTTTTTTTATCCTATTGTCTCCTTGGTCATTATCTTCAGGGGTTTTGGTTATTTTGCTGTTGTAGACTGTTAGGAAAGTAATCTGATGAAGTGATATGAAACTGTAATGCAGTCAAGACCTGCCTGGAACTACTTTAACTGTGCAGTTATTCAAAATAATCAACACATCTGTAGCCAATCAGAACCATGCATTCATTTTTCTAATCAACTCTTACATTAATTGTGATTGTGCACTGAATGAATGGATGAATTTGAACCACAATGTTACTTTTAAATCATGTTTTTTTTTTCTAGACTCTCAGACTGCAGTATCAGTGAAGAAGGTTATAAAGCTCTGGCTTCAGCTCTGAGATCAAACCCTTCACACCTGATAGAGCTGGATCTCACAGGAAATGATCCTGGACAATCAGGAGTGGAGCAGCTCAGTGATTTACTACAGGATCAAACCTATTCACTGAAAACACTGAGGTGAGTGTCCTTCAGTGCAATAAATGTAAGCTTTTAGCTGAAAAGCAATTAAACCATCAAACCATCTTTTATCTCTGTGTCCATCTTTTACATGTACCTACATCTACATTAATTTACCACATCTTACCTTTGAATTCAGTTCTTTTTTAATAAATAAGAACTATGATTTGTGAAAAGATTGAAATAATTTAATACATTTATTATTTCTGTTTGCAATGATTTTAGTTTAATGGTTATTTTGGATTATACTTGTCAAATTTAATTACGAGCTTTTATATAAAAAGAGGCCGATTTCCTTTTGTCTTTTATGTTGTATTTGTGGTGTGAAAAGCCTACCAAGTGTATCAAGATGATCTTCATTGTCTCCTGATCTTCATCTCGTTGTAGAAGGCAGCTCTGTAATGTACAGTTGTGAAGTGTCAGTGTACTTCTCTCTCCAGGTTGTTACAAAGTCCTGCTGCAGATGAAGCCTGTCAGTATCTGATTAAACATCTGGGTAAAAACCCGTTACTCCTGAGAGAGCTGAATCTGAGTGAACATGAACTAGGAGACACACGAGTGAATCAGATCTCTGCTCTACTGCAGGATAAACACTGTGAACTCAACACACTGATGTGAGTATTGTGTTCATTTATTGCTTCACATTTAAAGTATCTTATTGAGATGAGATAAACTGCACAGTGACCAAAAGACAATAATACAGTACTTTGTAAATTCTCTCCTGTTCAACATTTTAGTCTGCGTAAGTGTGGTCTAACAGAGGAAAGCTGTTCAGCTCTCGCTACAGTCCTGAGATCAAACTCCAGTCTGAAAGAACTTGACATGAGCAACAATAATCTGCAGGATTCAGGAGTGAAGAAACTCCAGAACGCATTAGAAGATACAAACTGCACACTGAAGAAACTCAGGTGAGTTCAATTATCATTGATTGCATGTAAAAAAAAAAAATTCATCATAAAATGTATATTTTAACAGTAAGAAATATGTTTTTAATTCTATAAATCACATAATACTTTTTGATTATTATAAAAAAAAAAATTCCAAATAGACTTTCAGACTGCAGTATCACTGAAGAAGGTTATAAAGCTCTGACTTCAGCTCTGAGTTCAAACCCTTCACACCTGATAGAGCTGGATCTCACAGGAAATGATCCTGGACCATCAGGAGTGAAGCAGCTCAGTGATTTACTACAGGATCCAGACTATCAACTGAAGACACTGAGGTGAGATGTGATGGGATGATACAAATTAAATGACATGCAGGCTAAATATTCATACATAATATTATTTCAGTAATACAATAAGCTTGATTTGGTGCATCTGAGGTACTGTGTTGTTGGTGACAAAGTGTTGTGGTATAAGCTACAGTGCTGTTTAAATAGACATTATGAGCCACTAAATGTGCTGATACTCAGTAGTTTATTCACTTTTTCTGAATACACTGTAGTTTAATTTCCATCAAGCCCAGATTCTCAACACTGTATCTCTGCAGCAGATCTATGAGTCTCCAGTTCTTCACAAACATGTGGTGTCTTGAAAGATCTTTTGCTCTTCTGCTCCTCATGACATTTGCAGTGTTTCTGGTTTTTGACATCACTGTTTTTTGACATTTGGATGTCAAATAATAATACTTTTTTATGTTCGAAGTAAAACAGTAACTAGAGCTTGGAATTAGGAACAATAATGAATTCTGTTTTATCAACATGTTTTGTAAGGCAGTGTACATTTATTTCAGAATGAAAATGAATCCTGCTTTACCTTTTCCAGGTTTTTGAGAAGTCCTGCTGCAGAAGAAGCCTGTCAGTATGTGACTGGAATTGTGGGAAAAAACCCGTTACTCCTGAGAGAACTGAATCTGAGTGAAAGTGAACTAGGAGACACACGAGTGAATCAGATCTCTGCTCTACTGCAGGATAAACACTGTACACTTAAAACACTGATGTGAGTATCTTACATTATTTAACATGTATTTGATAATACTATTTTCTTATTTGTTTGAGCCAGAGGCATCACAATGTGAAGTATTAAAATTAAACAGGCCATTAAAAACAAATAATTGTCAAAAAATAACAATTAGCTTTAAACAGTAGGCCAAGTCACTTTGATCATGGGTCATTATTAATTATTTCAGTTACTGTAGAGAGAGAGAGTAATGGTTTTCTTAAAGAACTTACAAACTCTTCAAAACAAAAATGCTAAATTGTACTGCCCGTTTCAGAACACAGCAAATGAATGATGTACCAAACAGATCGGCCACCAATCTTTATCGGCTGACGTTCAACCTAATCCTTCAGTCCTGCTTAAATTCAAGGACAGTTTTTATTTTTTTATTATTGCAGCAAGCACACAATACAGCACTACTTTAATTAATAAAAATTTGATCAGATTAATCTTTAATGTTCGTTGTTTATGTCAGTTCACAGTGCGTAATGTTAAGAGATACAACTTTTTATTTAAAAAATGCTGTAGAAGTATTGTTCTTCATTAATTCATGTTAACTAATGTAGTTAACTAAGGAAACCTTACTGTATGTAGCTGGGAACAGCAGACCTAAACATATTTGCCAGTTGAGTGAAAGGAGACATTGACAGAAGAACCAGTCTTAAAATTGACGTGAAGCAAATGCACCTGGAAAAGAAGTAATGCTTTATACCGTAAAGGCTGTTCGGGAGAATTTCACGTGTGACTTTCAGATGACAAATTACAGTCAGGCAAAAAATCCAAATCCTCCAAAACCTTAGATGATCTTCATAGATGTGATTCATTGTCTTTTCTCTTTCTGTCTTCAGTCTGTGTGGATGCAGTATTACAGAGAAACAGTGTCTCATCCTGACTTCAGCTCTGTGTTCAAACTTTTCACACCTGAGAGAGCTGGACCTGAGTGGAAATAAACTAGAAAACAAAGGAGTGAAGCATGTATCTGAAACACTGAAGGATGTACGCTGTAAACTGGAGAGATTGAGGTCAGTAACATTCACATACAAGAATCAAAATGATTCAAATCACTTCAACAGTTTTTAAACAAAGACACTTTATAGTCTGTATATTGTAAAGAGCCTGAGTATTTTGTGATCTGGTGAAGTCAAGATGATCTCTCTTTCTATGTCTTTACATAATGTTTTATTTTCTGCATTTCTCTTTTTCCTAATATAGGTTAAGAGGCTGTGATATGACAGATGAAGGTTGTTCTGCTCTGACTTCAGCTCTGAGATCAAACCCATCACACCTGAGAGAACTGGACCTCAGTGTGAATAAACTAGGAGACTCTGGAGTGAAAAACCTCAGTGATCTACTGAAGAACCCACAATTCAAGCTGGAAATACTAGCGTTAGTAACATTATACTGTACAGCAGTTACAGAGAGATTAAAAATCACTGATTAGTTAAACAGGCCCAGTTTACAGTATTTAAACTGTAGCACTGCATCTGTACTGCAACTGTATTTCTCTGTTGGTCACACTTAATAATAGGCATCTCTAACTAGGAAATAATTGGGTTTAATGTAAAGTATTTGATAAACTGTACTGGTTGTGTACGTGTTCTGCAGAAATATTATGAGATTCACATTTGCTGCAACAATGAACAAGAGACCAAAAAAAATTATGTCTCTAGTTTAAAAAAAAAAAATGAATGAGAAGAAAACAACAGCTTCTGGCATTTGGAACTTAAAAACTGTTAAACTATGACAACTAAAGACTATATGTCTTCTGTTGCTCTTTTATAAAGACGTCATCAAGGATCTGAACCTTTGTCTTTCTCTTTCCATCTTCAGTTTGTGTGGATGCAGTATTACAGAGAAACAGTGTCTCATCCTGACCTCAGCTCTGAAATCAAACCCATCACACCTGAGAGAACTGGACCTCAGTAGGAATGTACTTCGCCACTCAAGAGTGAATAAATTGTATGATATACTGAAGGATCCATGCTGTAAACTGGAGCGATTGAGGTGAGGAACATTCACGTACAACAAATAAATTAGTGTTTTGGTATATTAATGAAACAGAATGAAAAACAAAATATTTGTTTCATTTCTCTGAATGCAGGTTAAGGTCTTGTGATATAAAAGCTGACGATTGTTCAGCTCTGACTTCAGCTCTGAAATCAAACCCATCACACCTGAGAGAGCTGGACCTGAGTGGAAATAAACTAGGAGACTCTGGAGTTGAAAACCTTGGTGTTCTGTTGGGCAGTTCACAATGCAAGCTGGAAAAACTACAGTTAGTATCATTACGCCGTACAGCATTTACAGTGTGATTTAAATGTACTATTTATTAAGACAACAGGGCACAAGTTACAAAATGTATAGCACTGAATATTCTGGTGTTTCCCCTTGAAGAAAGATTCTAAAGTACTGTCAGCTAATGGACTGATGGTTTATTATTTCTGTGAGCAGAAAGATTTATGTGCTGAAATCTGACAAAACTTTGCTGCAAAATGAGACCGAATTAAGTGGACAAAAACATGCACAATAGATTTTTTTTTCTTTTCAGAAGTTTGTAAAATTTATCATTTTCTATCCTATATAAAAAAGCATTTGTTTTGACTGAGTGATGACTGTCTAAACTTGGGTTGAATCTAGTATCCTCAAATCCTGTTTAGGAATTGGTTTATGGTTCTATAATATATTTTTCATGCTTCTGCTGGTGTATTAGTGTGATATATGACATTTAGTTATGATATTTAACTCACACATGAACTTAGAAAGAGAAAAGACAATGACTCAGATCCATGATGTCTTCAGTCTGTGTGGATGCAGTATTACAGAGAAACAGTGTCTCATCCTGACTTCAGCTCTGTGTTCAAACCTTTCACACCTGAGAGCGCTGGACCTCAGTGAGAATCAAATAGAAAACACAGGAGTGAAACACTTATGTGACGTACTGAAGGATTCACACTGTAAACTGGAGACATTAAGGTGAGGAACATGCTTAAAAAGGTTTAACTATAACACTTTTACTCAATATCTCACAAAGAGTCTGAGTTCACATTATATTTGTATATAAATAATAAATATAGTATTTGTGTATTTGTATATAGTATATAAATAATTCCTGTTGTGTTTTGTGAACTGATGAAGGCAGGGTCTGTTATAAACACCTGACAGGTACCAAACACATGGCAGGTGATCATTTCATTACCGATTAGCTTTAAATGTGCAGTGTGGCACAAAGAACCTCAGTAACAGTAACATCACTAACAGTCATGAAGAAATGTGTAACTACAAGATACTTTTTAAAAGATGGCCACAGAGTGAACAACAGCAGGGTAACATTATCAGCCAAGCTGCCCGAAGTACATGTGCCTCAAACCAGACAGAGTGTAAGCAACGGAGCGCAAAAAATGAAATTAGTTTAATGCAAGAAATGTTGTTTGTGATAAGAGTAACTGTAATGATATTATAACATTAACAGAAAATAACATTGATAAGTTGCAGAAGAGTGAATGTGTTCCTGCAGAATCTTCTTTCTCTGACACTTCGATTGTGCTTTTATTTTTCTGTATTATGTAGAATTTGTTGATTTTTAAACTGCCGTTTCCTTCATTTATATTTTAAAACATCAGGCAGCTTCTGTTGGTCAATACTGTGAATTTCTCTGTCAGATCTGAACTCAATACAAAAGTCATCATGTGGGGAAATAAATTGTACATTTTAAAAGTAAATGCATCAGTCTGGTGCTCTTTCAGGGAGAATGAAGAAGCTGGATCTGTTAAGAGTTTTGTGAGTTTTTTTTTGGCCATATAAATAACAACTGCACCAAATTGCAAATTTTTGCTCCGTTTGGAATCAAATTGAGCTGTTTTTCCTCAAGTATGAGCCCCATATTCTCACTATATATTACAGTATATGAGCCATAAAATCCTGATTTATCAAATATGATCAAACATAAAACACGTGAAAACATTTTTCTTTAATATTTTGTCTAAAAGTTTTAAAGTCATTAAAAAAAACAGATTTTTCTGATTATTTCATTATTTCAGTCAAGGTTAATAAATGTATTATTTTTTTAATATAACAAAAAGAAGTTTGCACATAATAATGCTTTTGAAAATACAATAAAATAGTACACAAAAATGGGGCGGGGGAATTCCCATTTAATTTATATATATATA